GCACAGGGAGACAGCTCAGGGGGTAGGAGTGTATAGAGGGAAGGACACAGGGAAGACGTAACTATGGGGAGGAAGTGGAAGGGAGCTGTTGCATTGTGGTAAATTGTAGTTAATGTCATGAGACAAAGTGTATGTGAGCTGCTGTATGGAAAGTGAATTTTTCTGTAAACTGTCACCCTCATCACAATTTAAAAAAAAAATACAAAAAAGAGCTGAACAGAAGATTTCAAAGAGTAGCTTGAGAAGATGAAGTCAACTATTATAATGAAATGTGCAAACACATGGAGTAGGAAAGCCAAAAGGGAAGAACACACTCAGCATTTCTCAAGCTGAAAGAACTGAAAAAAAAACTTAAGCCTCAAGTTGCCATATTGAAAGATTCTATGGGTGATATATTGAATGATGCAGGTAACATCAAAAGAAGGTAGAAGGAATACACACAGTCACTGAACCAAAAAGAACTGGTCAATGTTCCTCCACTTCAGGAGGTAGCATCTGATCAAGAACCAATACTATTGAAGGAAGAAGTTGAAGCTACACTGAAGGAAGTGGAGAAAAACAAGGCTCCTACAATTGACAGAATACCCAGTGAGATGTTTCAAGAAATGGATGCCACACTGGAGGCACTCAGTTGACTATGCCCAGAGATTTGGAAGACAGCTACCTGGCCAACTGACTTGAAGAGATCCATATTTGTATCCATTCCAAAGAAAGGTGATCCCACATAATGTGGAAATTATTGAACAATATTATTGATATCACACTTAAGTAAAATCTTACTGAAGATAATTCAAAAATGGTTGCAGCAGTATATTGACAGAAAACGTCCAGAAATGTAAGCTGGATTCAGAAAAGAATATGGAGCAAGGGATATCATTGCTGATATCAGATGGATCTTGGCTGAAAGCAAAGAATACCAGTAAGATGTTTATTTATGTTTTATTGACTGTGAAAAAGCATTTGATTATGTGGATCATAACAAATTATGGATAACATTGAGAAGAATGGGAATCCCGGAACACTTAATTGTACTCATGAGGAAACTGTACATAGACCAGGAGGCTGTCGTTCAAACAGAACAAAGGGACACTGCATGGTTTAAAATTGGAAAGGGAGTGTGTCAGGGTTGTATCCTTTCATCATACTTATTCAATCTGTATGCTAAGCAAATAATCTGAGAAGCTGGACTACACGAAGAAGAATGTGGCATCAGGTTTGGAGGAAGACTCATTAACAACCTGCAATACGCTGAGGACACAATTTTGCTTGCTGAAAGTGAGGATGACTTGAAGCACTTATTGATGAAGATTGAAGACCACAGTCTGCAGTATGGATTGTTGTTGTTGTTGTTATGTGCTGTGAGCCGGACCCGACTCATAGCTACCCCTCCTTGGGTTTCCGAGGCAGTATCACTACGGAAGTAGATTGCCCCATCTTCCTTCCGAGGAGTGGCTGATGGGTTTGAATCGCCAGCCTTCTGGTTAGCAGTCAAGTGCCATAGACACTATGCTACCAGAGCTCCCTCAGTATGGATTACACCTCAATATAAAGAAAACAAAATTCCTCACAACTGAACCAATAAGTAGTATCATGATAAATGGGAAAAGATTAAAGTTGTCAAAGTCTTCATATTACTTGGTTCTACAATCAGCACCAATGGTAGCAACAAGACATCAGACAATATATCCAAAAAACAACCAAACTCACTGCCATCAAGTCAGATCCGACTCATAGTGACCCCTCCATGGGTTTCCAAGGCGGCATCACAACGGAAGTAGATTGCCCATATCTTCCTTTTGAGGAGTAGCTAGTGGGTTTGAACCTCCAGCCTTCTGGTTAGCAGTCAAATGCCTTAGGCACTATGCTACCAGAGCTCCCAGACAACATGTAGCATTGGGCAAATCTGCTGTAAAAGACTTCCTTCAAATCGAGAAGAGCAAATATATCTCCTTGAAGACTAAAGTGCACCTGACACAAGCCATGATATTTTTAATAGCCTCATATGCATGTGAGAACTGGACAATGAGTAAGAATACCAAAGAATAGTCAATATTTTTGAGTTGTAGTGCTGGCAAAGAATGCTGAAAGTACCCTGGACTGCTAAAAGAACTAATAAATCTGTCCTGGACGAAGTGCAGCCAGAATGCTCCCTGGAAGCGAGAATGGCCAGACTTCGTCTCACCCACTTTGGCCATGTTGTCAAAAGGAACCATTCCCTGGAGAACGATATCATGCTTGGTAAAGTAGAAAGTCACAGAAGAACGGGAAGGCCCTTACAAGATGGACTGACACAGTGGCTGCAATGATGGACTCAGATATAGGAAGAATCGGGAACCGGGCAGTGTTTTGTTCCGCTGTAGGTAGGTTCACTATGAGTTGGTGACAATTAGACAACACCTAAAAATAGTGCAAAGTGGGCTGAGGTTCTGACTCAGCCCAGAGGATTTAGGGGAGGTCTCACATAAGAAGAGATTGAAATAGAGGTCTGATGGATAAGTAGTCATTCACCATGTACTGAAGAAGATAAGAAGGCTAAGCAGATAGCTAGTAAATAATGTCGGCCTAAGCATTATGCTCTTTTAAGAACTACCTATATGGGATCAAATTGACAACAGCAAGTCCAAAGATTAGTGTGGTAGTTAAGGTTGTGTGTCAACTTAGCTGGGCCTAGTTGAGTGGCTGGGCAACTAGTTGTAGTTATTCTCCATAATGAGACTGGTAATCACTCCATGGTGGAATCTACTGAAAATTAAAACAAGTCCACAAGAGCCAAAATATGACCATGAGTATATCCCATCTGAAGTTAGAGACCATCTGTGGTAGTTAAGTTTGTGTGTCAACTTGGCTGAGCCTGGTTGAGTGGCTGGGCAGCTGGATATAGTATTCCTCATGATGAGACTGGTAATCAACTCCATGGTAGAATCTACAGTAAGCAGCTGAGTAGCTACCTTAGGGATGTGGTCTGCTTCCTGTATATAAGGAGAAGCCTTGGGAACAGTCTCTTTATGGCATGCCTGAACCCTACATGTAGTCATGTTGTTGTTCAGCAGCCTGCCATATTCAGCTGAACTTGGGACTTTCAGTGAACTTGAATCAATGGCCTGCCGTGTTGTTTGGTAACATTGGGACTGTGCCTTTTCACTTGTAGACCTTGTGTTTGTCAGCCTCAGCAGCCAGCAGCTGTCTGAGTGAAGAAAAGTCTCCAGTTTCAGTGAGCTGGGGACAGAAGATGGAGGTTGAGGGGCTTTCACCCAGCGCCTAGATCCTGGCACTCTGAATTCAGACTTAATGCCTCCAAACTGTAAGAGAATAAACTCCTGCTTGTTAAAGCCATCCCATTTGTGATATATTCCCATCAGAGTGACACTAGGTAACTAAAACCGTTAGATTGCAAGCTTAAGAGAGCAGTGAGTCTATGTTAATGGTAGAGAACTCAGAAAAGGAGGGTGAGAATGGATGCACAACTTGAAGAATGTAATCAATGTCACTGAATTACACATGTACAAATTGTTGAATTGGTGTATGTTTTGCTGCATATATTCTCAACAACAAAAATAAATATATTTAAAAAATAATAATAAATGAAGAGGACTAAGCAGAGGGCACATTTGTCCCAAACCATTAGAACATTAAGAATGTGGAAAGTTCAGATAGCAGCATTAGCTGAAACTTGTCTGTGTTCTGATTTAGATAGAGATTCAAAATGAACATAAGCACCAGTCAACTAGAGTTTTTACTACACTAAGAATCACTGAAATCGTGTCACAGGACAGCAAAGAAGACAGTGTGCACCCCAACATAGATACTGCACAGTATGATGAGATTAATTCAAAGCCCTAACTTTGATAATTTAACTGATCTGTGTTTACTTCACTAGACAATCCTTGTGATAGCGACCTATGAACATATGCATTTTATTACATTGTAATACTCTTTATAGCAATAGCAAAACCAGATTGGTGCTCTGAAAAGACTTTCAATACATCAGCAAAGAAATGGTCTTAACTCTGGTGAGTTATGTCAAGACAGCACTGGAAGGCTACTGTAATAAAAGCTGACTAGAGACAAAGTAACTTCCCCAAACAATCATAGTACAATCTCAAGTAATGTGGCAATAGCTGCGAAAGTCTTGAAACAATAGTAATGAAAAGTGTCCTCATATGTTTTCAGCAGATAGCCTAAGGCAAAGACATAACGCTGGTGTGTAAAAACAATAAACAGACTTCAAGTCAGCGAACACAAATCAGACATTTCTGTCAAATCAGAACGCACGTGAAATTATCAGCAACAGCAACTTTGAAATACTAGACGATACCATTATTCAAAAAAGTAACAACCCCACACAACTGACTAGGCCACTTAAGAAACTCGCAGATCACTTCAAACTACAAGATAACCATTTAATTAACTTTCACAGAGGCACTTTCCTATTCCTTTCACGCACTGTTATCCAAAAGAATTCACGGCCATGCGTACAGGATCATAGGTCCAAGCACAGTCAAGCTCGCTGATATTCGAGAGCTTTAGGGCTGGCGGGCGAAGAGACTTGCAACTGATAACTAGAATCAGGTTGGGAGTTAGGAAGCAAGAAGAAACTTAAGGGAGGCAGCAAAACAGAAGTAGGAACGAAGAGCAGTATAGAGTCACCAATCAGACTGACGAGCATTGGGAAAAGTCCCCAGGAGACGGACAAACAACTAGAAGGGGATCTTCAACTTTGATCTGAGTTTCCCAGGAATTCAGCCTTGGCTGCCCTCAGCCGGACCTGATCCCTCCCTTTTGGTTGATTTATCTCTTATAAGATTTTTTCAAAAAAGAAAAGAAACAAGGCACAGGAGCGGACACTTAGGTTAATCAAGGGGGCGCTTCTCAGACGACATCAAGGAAAACTAAGGAAATCCCGGGAGATGCTGAAGGGAAAGTGCCCCTGCTGCTCGCTCAGCTCGCACCTACGAGGGGAGTGGCGAGAGTAAAGGTAAGGAAAGCGTGTCCTCCCTTACCTGCCGCAGGAGCTTCCAGCGAGAAGCTGCCAAGGCCGCTGAGACTGTGGGCTCCCGAGCGACGCTACCGTTTGCAGGGTCCCCGCCTGCCACTTGCTCGGTTTCACCAACCCCGATGTCCACGACTCGCGACTCCATCCCACTGGAGCCGCCAATTCCCAGAGCGTCGCTGTCACTGGTCTCCGCTGCCAGGACCTGCCCACTTCTTCCCTGTCAGGACCTGTGACGCCCGGCCTCCCTCCCACTGCCGGAGCTGTCCAGCCCTCCCGGAATTCCGCATTTCTGGTACTCGCGTCTCCTTGGCAACTATGGCAGCGCTGATCACCTCATTGCACCATTTTGCTGGTGGCCATCTTGAGTGAGGGCGGACAGAAGGGCGCGGGAAATGTGACAGAGCTGTTGCACCGCTGCCACTCTTTGTTCTCATCTCCTCTCCTTCATCTTTAATTCATAAAACTATAAAAGAACTAAAATGCTCATATATATTGTTATAGAATCCTGGAGGAAGGGGGGGAGGAATCTTTTCTTGACCACAATAAAGATGGCGAAGTACGCGTAGGATTCGTGTTAGATTGGGGTTACGTAAACCGGCGTGCTGCAAACCAGCTCTGGGCGGCTTGGAGTAGGTTGTCGTTCTGCGGGTAGCAGAATACAGACTTCGGGTGGACGCAGCTGAGGTGACATCTGCTCTCGATCCTGAGAACTTCGGGTTCTCTGGCCTGCCTTCACTTGTTTCTGTGACCAAAGCTGGACTGACTCTCTTTCAATTTGCGTATGTATGGGATAGTGCTTGGGGTCTCTTTCTTTCCTACCCCTCCCACCCAGCCACGCTAAATCCCTTGGTCCTCGCTTTTTGCCCTGTGGTCTCTTCACTGCGTGAGACAAGTTACCACTCCCTTTCGCACTCAAATCGCTTCATCCCTGAGATGGAGTTGCACAGATAAAACGATTAGGTTCTCCGGGGAGCCCGTTTATCTACCCCGATCTCCATCCTGAGCTTTGAATACTGCCTTCTTCTTGTAAATGGCAATATGTATGGACTTAAGCGACGGGGTTAAAGGTGATTTGGGGCCTTTGCCGGCGCCTTTTATATTCAAAGCTTTTTTTTTTTTTTTTTTTTTTTTTTTTTTTTGCTCTTCCATCCCATCAGCCCGTTATTTTGCTGCGACACAGGAGATAAAGGGGAGGAGGGGGGCGTCGTAGCTGATGTGCTCTGTTGTAAGTCTGACGCAGTGTTCTTTGATACAGAGGAGCGTTTTGTGGAAGACTCCCATGATGAAATGCTACAGCGTGCAATGTGCTTAGAGTATTCCGAACCTAATAATGGTAGCCACCATGGCTGCTACGTGCTGGGCATGTTAAGGTCTTAACATGTAAAATGTTCTTACAGTAACAATCCCATAAGATAAAAGGTGCCATTATTTCAGTTTTGCAGATGAGGAAACTGAGGCCTTGCGACAGGTAGTAAGTGCTGCAACCAAGACGTGAGCAGGTTTACTATCAGGATTAATGAGAACCAACTGCCAAACAGAAACCAGAGATGGTCTCACATCTTATTTGTGCATCCTGAAGTGTTTGTTTTTTGTATTTTTTTAAAATTAAAAATCTACATACGTTTTTCACACTAAAGCCTAATAATGGTTTATTATGTCCAAGATCTGGAGACAAACCAGATTGGACTTTTTGCTATACTCCTGACTCTGTAAGTGACCTGGAGCAGTTGCTTAAACTTCCACAAGAGCCACAAATTTCCTCACCTGTGAAATGAACGTAATAATGGCTACTTTATCAAGTCTTATAAAGTTTAGATTAAAGTATGTAAAAGCACATAGCAAACACACCACAAATATTAATCCTACCCGTCTGCCTCTGCAGCTTTATTAGTTAATCCTTTTCCAGTTCATCTTCTCTAAAAACATACCAAAGATGTGCTCAGAATTATGTGACTTCGAAGCCAATTAAAGCCCTCAGAGTCCCTAAGATGCTCAGTTAAATCTGTATATTTATTTGCAGATTTTTATTTTTATTTTTGTTTTTTGTTTTAGTTTGGCCCTATGTGTACCAGAATCAGTGCTGCATAGCTTGAGCCCGATAGGATTGACTTTACAGATGAGACATTTAAGTAACATCGGCCAAGAGTATGATTTGAATGAAACTTTAACATACATATTTTCAGATTTATGTAACGTAAATTATCAGCTGTCTGCAGTTATTTATAACCTAAAAGATGCATGCCCCTGAAGGACAGAAATAAGAACTGCCAATCTTAAACACTCTGAGAACCCACTACTGTATATATTCGTGCCTATGAAACTATTCATGTGCTGGCGGCCCCAAAGAGAGCATAAACCAGGGACTTTGATATCATGCAGCAGAAGACCAAATTATTTCTCCAGGCTCTGAAGTATAGTATACCTCACCTTGGGAAATGCATGCAGAAACAGCATTTGAATCACTATAACTTCGCTGATCATTATTATAGTAGAATAAAGTTGAAAAAATGTCACCTAACCAAACGTCTGCAGAATAAAAACAAGATACCAGAGTTAGCAAGAAACATCCCAAGTCGGAGCTTCTCCTATAAGGTATGGACTGTTTAAGTTAACCTATTTGTAGGTCATTAAGAGTGATTTTAGTTTAAAACTAAAATAGGGATAGCGTCAGGGTTACTAATTTTCTCAGTAATTCTAACTTAATTTTTAAAACTTCCAGGCTTAGTATTCTGTAGTCAAATAAGTATAAGTGAATACATATACATTTATAGCTCTAATATATAAAAATGTAGATTTATGAACAATGATTTATCTTAGTGTGTCAGCCAGTAAATTTCAAAATACAATCAGCTTTCTAAGATTCTTAGAATACCATATTAAAGCTCTTAATAAAATCTAATGTGCTAATTGTTTTTTGAATCCCAGATTAGTAAACTTCAGTAAAGGCCATGTGATTGTGTGCTATTTTGCTGCAAAATAAGACATGCATTTTTGATCACGTGGGTCCTTCAAGAAGAGACTCCCAGTCCATAGTACTTACACCAGGCCCTAAGTTGTGGGTATGACCTCAACCTTGAGGACCTGACTGCCCTTATATGTAGTGTGAACCACACATCCCAGTTTGCCAGTCTACATCTGTTTATCCCTGTGTAATTATTAATGGTGTCCCTTTTCCTCTCAAAAAGGTCCTGGGTGATCAGTTATGTGGCCATCCTACTTATCTGAGATTAAGCTAGCTATTTATGTTGCTCCCTCTGACATACCTCCCATCCATTTTATTTGTTATGTTCCTTAGGTTTCTTAATTTGTACTTGGGGATGATATTTTTTGCACTGTTTTAGCATATCTTGTGATTTTAATACTTAAATTTCTGGTTTTAATTGTTACATTGCATCCTGGTATTTAAAAATCTGTTTTGGCTTCCTCTCTTTAAAGTCTTATTTTACTCAGTTTTTCTAGTTTTTATTTCATCTTTACTTGTCTCTTAGCTTACACTTACTTACTTGTTATGGGGTTGGTTTGTTTGCTTGCTTTACTTCTAATCTTTTAACTGGTGGTCCCTAGATCTTTACATTTTAATCTCTCAAATTATTTTCCTTTTTATAGTGTCATGCCTTAGTTTAGGACTTTGATTCTTACTTTATTCACTTAGAATTTCTTTAAGCCTTCCTGCTATTTCATTTTTACTTTTTTGTTTGTGCAGCCTTGACCTACTTTAGAAAGATAAATTTTAAATTTTACCCAATGGACTAAACTCTAGACCTTTAGATTCTTTTATTTTGCATTGTGTTAGAACATTTTGTCATCTTGTGCTTTTATCTTAAGTTCTAGTTTATAAATAGTAGGCAGGAATTATCATCAGGGTGACAGCTGTTAAAGTAGCTCATATCCTAAACAAAAAGTTGCTCATTTTTTTCTCTCATTTGTCCCTGAAGCAACTTTTCCATTCTCTTTCATACATTCCCACCACTTAAAAACTTTGACCTGAGTTGATGACTCTGAGAAAAATAGTTCAGCTGATAAAGTGATGTTGCTTTCACATGTCACATATCCACTATTTCCTCTATGAGAAACAAGATGATCTACAAGCTGTAATCTCTGTCCTTTGATCACTGGGACGTTTGGAAGCTTTATAAAGACACTGCCGGAAGAGACCTATAAATAAGAAAGTACTTTTCTTTCTTTCAGAAAACATCCACTGAGTTCCAGCTCTTACAGGTACAATAAAGTAGAAAAAGTAATTAGTGCCTTTGTTGTTGTTGTTATTTGCCATCGAGTTGGTCCTGACTCATAGCGACCCCTCCTTGGGTTTCCGAGGCAGTATCACTACGGAAGTAGGAATGCCCAACCTTCCTTCCGAGGAGTGGCTGGTGGGTTTGAACCGCCAGCCTTCTGGTTAGCAGTCAAGTGCCTTAGGCACTATGCTACCAGAGGTCCTATTAGTGCCTTTAAGGCAAATTAAAACATAAATACTCAGAATAAAGAATTTATACAAGTTAACTAAAGGAACAAGAGAAGGCAGCATGTGTAGTAGAACTATTGGGAGGCAAGTTACCTAGCTATGACTACTGTGACCATGAATTAATTTCAAACCAAAACCAAATTCATTGCCATTGAGTCGATTCCAACTCATAATGACCCTCGTTGGGTTTCCAAAGCAGTAAATCTTTATGGAAGTAGATTGCCCAGCCTTACTTCCACAGAGTGGCTGGTGGGTTTGAACTGCCAGCCTTCTGGTTAGCAGTAAATGCCTTAGGCCCTACTCCACCAGGGTCCTTATGAACTAATTAGAACTCTAATTTTTGTGACTGAAAAAATAAGGAGCTTTTTAGAAATGCAAATTCCTGAATCCCACCCAGTTCACTGGATCAGAATCTTTATGGTTCCCCAGGTAATTCTGACATACCCAGCTGCTATCTACAGAGGGCTTGCATTTAGGAACTGGAGACACTTGGTGAACAAGTGTTGCTGACTTAAACCTAGTTGAAACCATTGAGTTATTGGCAAGCCCACCTTAACTTTCCCTTTTACATGAGCCAGATGGCAAGATGAACTTATTCCATTACACTCACATGCCTGCTATGATATTCAAACACTAGCATCAAACTAGATATCACATTTCTTTGTTAGGATATGTGTTGCTCT